ACTGAGTACCCACCCAGTGCCCCTGCCCTTCCTCCCTCCATGCCCGGTCATATATTACAGCTCACTGAGAAATATAAGAAAGCTGTGATTGCTTGCGGTTCCAGTCAGACGATTTTCAGTGAGAGACCTCTAATTGCCGTCAGGGAACACTTCAACCAGGCAGCTGGGCTCTCTCTTGTTTTTTTTTTGTTTTTTGTTTTTTATTAATACACTCTAAAATAAAGCATGCATGGAAAAAATCTGCATGTTTTTATTGGTGGTAGATCTACTAAATTGTTAAAACAAATGTAAAACGTTCAGTGGCGTGTTCCTTTAATGGATGGGTGACATATTGATTGAACATCGTAGTCTCTTTGCTCTGAGCGGACGGTTAGCCGATATGGACACTAGTAAGGACTAACCTGTACCAAAAACCAGGTGTACACCACGGCTCCCCAGGGGTTTCCTCCTTTGGATACAAGTTTAGCTGGAGACAGCAATATTCCTGATGGATAAAAGTCGAGACAGAAGCAGGTGTGAATGGTTAGCAGACTAGTAATAGAGCGAGGGAAGGCTAGAATAGCAGGATACATGGAGGGATAGATCCAACGGAGGAGACGGGAACCAAGAAACAACAATTAGAGGGAAAATGTGAGTGACTGAGGTGGTTGGTGGGACATGCGAAGATGAGACAACCAATAGGGGACGTTTTAAGAAGGATTTATGGAAATCTCTATGAATAGTGAATGCATGATGATCACTAAAGTGAGATAAATAATGGAGGGGAAGGAGGATGGATGGACAGAGGGAAGTGCAGGAAAAATGGTAGGGTGCACAGTGGGGTGCGCAGGACATGTTATGGAGTGCTCGGTGGAATAACTATTGTAATGGTCTCCCGAGAGGCAGACAGCAACTTAGATGTGTAAGGAGTGTGAATGACAGGTAGCTCTGTCTATCCTCACCAAACAAGTCGTCCTTGGCCAGAGCGTGCAGAATGCGAGACGCCCCGATCAGGGTGCTCATGGAAGCAGACAGGGAAGTGGCGTACACCCCGATCAGTACGAAAGGAGACCAGATGTTAATAGATCGAAAAAATCCATAATCCTCTTTCAGCAGTGTCCTGGGAATGAATGGGACAAGTTCAGGATGGGACGACTACACATATAATATCTATAGCGACCGGTGGGGTTTGGGGGGGAGCGGTACGAGTCATCACTTAATTATATTACCTGGGGGCCATCCCATCACTCCGTTATTATATTACCTGGGGGCCAACTACTCCGTTATATTACATTACCTGGGGGCCAACTACTCCGTTATATTACATTACCTGGGGGCCAACTACTCCGTTACTATAGGACCTGGGGGCCAACTACTCCGTTACTATAGGACCTGGGGGCCAACTACTCCGTTACTATAGGACCTGGGGGCCAACTACTCCGTTACTATAGGACCTGGGGGCCAACTACTCCGTTACTATAGGACCTGGGGGCCAACTACTCCGTTACTATAGGACCTGGGGGCCAACTACTCCGTTACTATAGGACCTGGGGGCCAACTACTCCGTTACTATAGGACCTGGGGGCCAACTACTCCGTTACTATAGGACCTGGGGGCCAACTACTCTGTTACTATAGGACCTGGGGGCCAACTACTCCGTTACTATAGGACCTGGGGGCCAACTACTCCGTTACTATAGGACCTGGGGGCCAACTACTCCGTTACTATAGGACCTGGGGGCCAACACTCCGTTACTATAAGACCTGGGGGCCAACACTCCGTTACTATAAGACCTGGGGGCCAACACTCCGTTACTATAGGACCTGGGGGCCAACACTCCGTTATATTACATTACCTGGGGGCCAACTACTCCGTTATATTACATTACCTGGGGGCCAACTACTCCGTTACTACATTACCTGGGGGCCAACTACTCCGTTACTATAGGACCTGGGGGCCAACTACTCCGTTACTATAGGACCTGGGGCCACTCACGTTTACTATAGCAGGTTGGGGCCTTTACTCACGTTACTATATAGGACCTGGGGGCCATGCTCCGTTACTAGGACCTGGGGTTGGCACTCCCAGGCCTGGGACCTGGGGGTAACTACTCCAGTTACTACTTATAGGACCACCTGCTGGGGCCAACTACTCCGTTACTATAGGACCACAGGGGAGCGCTTCTCCGTTACTATAGGACCACGGGGGCCTTCTCCGTTACTATAGGACCTGGGGCCAACTACTCCCGCGTTTACTACGCAGACCTGGGGCCAACTACTCCGTTACTATAGGACCGCAGGGGCCTTCTCCGTTACTACTGGGACCTGGGGGCCAACTTTACTCGTTACTATATAGGAGCTGGGGGGCCAACTACTCCGTTACTATAGGCCTGGGGGCCAGCTACTCAAGTACTGCTATAGGACCTGAGGGGCCAACACTCCGTTACACCTGGGACCTGGGGGCCAACACTCCGGCGTTACTATAGGACCTGGGGGCCAACACTCCGTTACTATAAGACCTGGGGGCCAACACTCCGTTACTATAAGACCTGGGGGCCAACACTCCGTTACTATAGGACCTGGGGGCCAACACTCCGTTACTATAGGACCTGGGGGCCAACACTCCGTTACTATAAGACCTGGGGGCCAACACTCCGTTACTATAGGATAGCTATCCCATCGTTCCATCTAAAGCAAAGCTCTTTCTTTAGAAGCTAAACTCAGTAAATCCATAGAACTTTTGGGAGCATCATAATCAGCGAAGTCATTTCTGGTCTGGAACAACTTTCTCTTACAGGTAGCTATTGTATTACTACTTATTGTAAACCTCCAATAAGGTAAAGTGATAGGAAAATCCCCTTTTCCCAGTAATAATTCCAGTATATTTGTTTCCATACTAGGTGCGGGTAATAAACTGGAGTGCGGCCTTACCGGTTACAAGTCAGTGAAGTCATGAGGAAGAGAATTAAATAGACAAAAAATGTAATGATCACAGCGATTATGGTGCCAATGGGAATAGCTCGGCTGGGCTGCTTAAGTTCCCCTGTAAGAACATTAAAAAAATTTAAAATAAGAATAAAAAAAAAATATAAAAATGATATAAATCAGTTGTTACTGTGCATTCAGAAGCTGTTGTGGCTATAACCATGTTATCTTCAGATCTGTGAAAACTAGCAATGCAGCCCAGAGGGAGAGAAAATCTGGATTTATACAAAGCATACACCTGAGGGCTCCTTAGAAGCCTGAAATAAAGCAGTTCTTCCATTTAAGAATGACGTTTGTAATGTGTTGCATGGAATGAGTGAGGGGAGGAGATTTTGTTGCATATTTGCTATTTAGATGGCTATTTTGGAAGTAAGCATACCAGCAGATTCTCTACAAATAGCAATAAATGGAGCATTTGACAGTTTTATTAATATTTTATGGCAATGCCGGCTGCATGTTCTTAAACTGGAATTTGCAATACTACTCTAGGTTTTCAGAACCTACGTAAGCATTGCAAAGAGTTTTACTTTACTGTAATACGTACCTGGGTTGGGGGAAGGAATGTTAAATTTATATTTTTAATAATATTTTGTGCATGGAAGGGACAGTCATATTGTTTTATAATTACATTTATTTAAAGAAGGGTCGAGGGGAATTAAATCTAATAACCAAACTGGAATACAAAACAAAAAAACGTGCCGTACTTCACATTTTTTATGTGACTCTTTGTGTCTGCAGCAGTTTTACGAATTGTTTATTTACATAAAATTGGGATTAAGCACCTTGCACACTTCATTTGTGTCTTTATTTCTGGTAAATTATACTGGAATAGTCTGCATCCCCATTTAAGGTAGAGGGGGGGGGGGAGGGATATACCAATTCAAATGGATTCTATGCTCAGGCAACAACCTACTTCTGCCACCAATTCGCTTTATTTGCAAATGTTTCTTACCAGACATGTTACATCCTGCCATGATTCCGGTGCAACCATTAAACATAACCGCAAACACTGTAGCAAAGTTCATGAGATTACCGGTAGTGTAGTCCAAGGAATAATCGGCTGATGAGAGAAAGCGAGAGAGAGTCACGTGATTTAAAAATAACAGAGTATGAGGTCAGAGGTATAAACAGTCTATACATACCATGTAGATTGTTATGTAGAGTGGTGCTGTTGATTCCAGTATATTCTCCAATTATAGTTGTGTTATCTCCATGTCGAATGGTCACATGGAGTGGCCCTACAGCCACAAAACTAAGTAAAATTGATAAAAGGACTAACAAGACCACAATAAAGATGAAGAATGAAGCTTGCGAATAAATGGAGGCTCCAACCAGGCAAACCGACAAACAAAGGAGGAGGACCACGCTAGCATAAAGAAAGTTATAGCCGTACCCTTGGGGGAGAGCACGCAAAGGGTCTGAAATGCCCGACGTGTCTGAGAAAAGAGAAAAAACTGATTATGTGAGTGTGAATGACAATTAAGGTAGATTAACAAATAAAAAAGGAGACAAGTGAGCAGAGTATGTAAAAGAAAAATAAATAAAACCCATACAGACCTTTCCCAAAGATGTCAAGCACGGCCTCCACCAGTCCCAGAACATAGACTCCACATGCACATACATTGGCCAGATAGAACATCAGACCAATGCTACCTCCAAACTCAGGACCTAGTGTTCGTGAGATCATAACTGGGAGACAATCAAGGAGGACAACAGAGTAGAGATGGACAAGGGATGGGAAAGAAAGGGGTGGAAGAAGCCAGTATAAAACAAAGTTCTTTCGATATTTTGTGATTATCTAGAATGGGGGTTGGCAACATTCGGTACGCCAACCCAAATGTTGTGGACTATATCTCCCATAATGCACTTACAGCAAAATGGAAAATCGTCAGGGGAGATGTTGTCTACAACATGTGGAGTGCCTTCATTTTTCTATCCCTGAAAAATATCCTTCCTAAAATATCCTGATCCTGATGAGCAGAGCATACACAAGCCCAAAATATATAGAAATAGGATAAAACTACGGCCATTGGGAAGAGGGCCCTCACCTATCTCGAGGCGGCCTGTGCCGTTTTGAATAACATTTTCATTGAAGTCTGATTAGGATACAGTACGCTCCGCCTCCCTGGACAGCTCCGTTAGTAGAGATGGCACAGACACTGAGCACAGTCAGCCAGATGATAGCGTAGGCCACAAATAGCATGAGAAGAGACTGCAGGAGACCCGCATGTCCCACAACGAAACCTGGAAGAAGAAAGAAGACAGTGGTCAGTCTGACACTGCAGACATAGACATGAGCTCTAAAACAGGGGTAGACAACCTTCACCACTCCACAATGCTCATATAGTCATAAAGCTGGCAAAGCATTAGGGAAGATGTAGTCCACAACATCTGGAGTGCCGATGGTTGCCACCCCTGCTCTAAGAGGACACAAAATAGTAAAAAAAAACAAAAAAACCCACAAGTTTCCTTAGTGCAATAAGCTGAATATAATCAGTCGGTCGGTTTTATCAGGGTAATACAAACATTTTATCTTTGATAGCCATCGGTCAGTGGGTCTTATCGATCATTTTAAATCAATTCATTTCCTGCCCAGTTCAATTATTATAATATATCCTAGCTTGGTAACTTGTTTTAATAAAGACTTATTCACCTCTTGTATCTGCTAATGTTTGCCATTATTTCGCCCCTCTGTGTCTTTTTATTCACATAGGGAGCCCTGCCTTCCTGAAAGCAATTTGTACCCCAGTATACTGTGCATGAATTCTATGGTGTCCCTGGTCACGTACAGCCCGTGTATCGGGAGAACTCACCGATCCTCATGAATAAAACAATGCTGAACATGGACAGAACAGTGGGCACCACAACACCAAAAAAGGTGGAAAGTTTGCGTGGTGCAGGACCTGCGGTAATAGTTTCTGTGCCGCATAGGGCGGAGTCTGCAGGCCCCAGAGCGCCATCGGATACACTGAAGAGGCGGTAATGAAGAAGGGGAGAGTTTTCCGAGGTCATTCCTGGAAAGAATGGACAAAGAAAGTTAATTCATGTAAAACACACAACATACATGTAATCTATAATCACTCCGTTAATATGATATAAAAGGACACAGCAGGTTATGTAATCCTGACCGAGGGCCAGTTAGTAGACATTTCACGGGTTTCAGCTCATTAAAAATAAACACAAACAAGAGACCCAAAAAACAAAGTAAGATCAGACAATGCACAGATGCAATGAATGGTGATATGACTGGCTGTAGATTTCCTCATGGCACGAGGAAGGCCAGTCAGAGCTCCAAATGGCACGAGGAAGGCCAGTCAGAGCTCCAATTGGCACGAGGAAGGCCAGTCAGAGCTCCAATTGGCACGAGGAAGGCCAGTCAGAGCTCCAAATGGCACGAGGAAGGCCAGTCAGAGCTCCAAATGGCACGAGGAAGGCCAGTCAGAGCTCCAAATGGCACGAGGAAGGCCAGTCAGAGCTCCATATAGTACGTGGAAGGCCAGTCAGAGCTCCATATAGTACGTGGAAGGCCAATCAGAGCTCCATATAGTACGTGGAAGGCCAGAGCTCCATATAGTACGTGGAAGGCCAATCAGAGCTCCATATAGTACGTGGAAGGCCAATCAGAGCTCCATATAGTACGTGGAAGGCCAATCAGAGCTCCATATAGTACGTGGAAGGCCAATCAGAGCTCCATATAGCAGAAGGAAGGCCAATCAGAGCTCCATATAGTACGAGGAGGCCAATCAGAGCTCCATATAGTACGGGGAGGCCAATCAGAGCTCCATATAGTACGAGGAGGCCAATCAGAGCTCCATATAGTACGAGGAGGCCAATCAGAGCTCCATATAGTACGAGGAGGCCAATCAGAGCTCCATATAGTACGAAGAGGCCAATCAGAGCTCCATATAGTACCAGGAGGCCAATCAGAGCTCCATATAGCATGAGGAGGACAATCAGAGCTCCATATAGCATGAGGAGGACAATCAGAGCTCCATATAGCATGAGGAGGACAATCAGAGCTCCATATAGCATGAGGAGGACAATCAGAGCACCATATAGTGCAAGGAGGACAATCAGAGCTCCATATAGTGCAAGGAGGACAATCAGAGCTCCATATAGGAGGAGGAGGCCAATCAGAGCTCCCTATAGCACAAGGAGGACAATCAGAGCTACCATTACTTCAATCCAGACTATTCCCCACTTCCTTCAAAAATCGCATAGTAGGCATGATGCAGTCAGGCAGAGCATTCTTTGGGATCTTCCTACCCCACGGTCAATTGTCAGATATTAAGATATTAATACCGTGTGTCCACTACTGACAGGAGTTAAGTCAGGTACATTGTACCCCACAGAGTATCACCTCTATCCAGTTACTGTGCAGGTAATAGTGTACACAGGGTATCCTCACCTCTATGCAGTTACGGTGGCGGTAATAGTGTACACAGAGTATCCTCACCTTTATCCAGTTACTGTGGCGGTAATAGTGTACGCAGAGTATCCTCACCTCTATCCAGTTACTGTGGCTGTAATAGTGTGCACAGAGTATCCTCACCTCTATCCAGTTACTGTGGCTGTAATAGTGTACACAGAGTATCCTCACCTCTATTCAGTTACTGTGGCTGTAATAGTGTACACAGAGTATCCTCACCTCTATCCAGTTACTGAGCCGGTAATAGTGTACGCAGAGTATCCTCGCCTCTATCCAGTTACTGTGGCTGTAATAGTGTACACAGAGTATCCTCACCTCTATCCAGTTACTGAGCCGGTAATAGTGTACACAGAGTATCCTCACCTCTATCCAGTTACTGTGGCGGTAATAGTGTACACAGAGTATCCTCACCTCAATCCAGTTACTGTGGCTGTAATAGTGTACACAGAGTATCCTCACCTCTATGCAGTTACTGTGGCTGTAATAGTGTACACAGAGTATCCTCACCTCTATCCAGTTACTGTGCTGGTAATAGTGTACACAGAGTATCCTCACCTTTATCCAGTTACTGAGCAGGGAAGGACGAGGGACATTATTTGTCTGGATTTTAAGCTTCATTGAGGGGTGAGTTAGCGTTTGACTGTTACATTCCTGCCACATTCCTCATTCTATCATTCATACAATTCTACAGATCTTTTTACTGACACACACTATTTCAATCAATATACACCGTGTCCTGTATTATTAACTTACTAGCTATTTAACAGGAGACGCAATGAAAACACAACACAATTTGTATAGTAAGGTGGAGGGCAGACTACCATTCCCATCACCTTCAGAGAGCTTGCTTTGTATACCATCACCTACCACATGGATAGAGGGTGAGATAGAGTCACGTATTTCTAAAATCCCAGATAAACACCAGAGGAACAGTTAGTGGCTGGCTGAGAGTGATAAGTTGCACTAGAATTCAATATTTTGACAATCACATTACAATAAATTGCTGGGTTCTACATATCACTGATATTAAAGGTGAAATTTCATTTTCAGTACGAAAATCGTGATAGGAACACTATAACCGCCCCACCAGAACAGATAAACTGCACATAGTCTCCACACCAACAATATTACACGGAATACCTCTATATTACACACTGTATCTCTGTATAACACCAATACGCTATATCACATTGAGTACCTCTATATAACACCCATACTCAGTACCTCTATATAACACAGTGCTACTCTATATAACAGTATCTCTATATAACACACAGTGTGACTCTCTATAACACAGTATCTCTATATAACACACAGTGCGACTCTATATAACAGTATCTCTATATAACACACATTGTGACTCTATATAACACACAGTGTGACTCTATATAACACACAGTGTGACTCTATATAACACACAGTATCTCAATATAACACAGTGTGACTCTCTATAACACACAGTGGGACTCTCTATAACACAGTATCTCTATAACACACACAGTGTGACTCTATATAATACACAGTATCTCAATATAACACACACAGTGTGACTCTCTATAACACAGTATCTCTATATAACACACAGTGAGACTCTATATAACACACAGTATCTCTATATAACACACAGTGAGACTCTATATAACACAGTATCTCTATAACACACTATCTCTATATAACACACAGTGGGACTCTCTATAACACAGTATATCTATATAACACACACAGTGTGACTCTATATAACACACAGTATCTCTATATAACACACAGTGAGACTCTATATAACACACAGTGTGACTCTATATAACACACAGTGTGACTATATTACACACAGTGTGACTCTATATAACACACAGTATCTCAATATAACACAGTGTGACTCTCTATAACACACAGTGGGACTCTCTATAACACAGTATCTCTATAACACACAGTGTGACTCTATATAATACACAGTATCTCAATATAACACACACAGTGGGACTCTCTATAACACAGTATATCTATATAACACACAGTGTGACTCTCTATAAACACACAGTATGACTCTCTATAACACACAGTATGACTCTCTATAACACACAGTATGACTCTCTATAACACACAGTATGACTCTCTATAACACACAGTATGACTCTCTATAACACACAGTATGACTCTCTATAACACAACACACAGTGTGACTCTATATAACACAACACACAGTGTGACTCTATATAACACACAGTGTGACTCTATATAACACACAGTGTGACTCTATATAACACACAGTGTGACTCTATATAACACACAGTGTGACTCTATATAACACACAGTGTGACTCTATATAACACACAGTGGGACTCTATATAACACACAGTATCTCTATATAACACACAGTGTGACTCTATATAACACACAGTATCTCTATATAACACACAGTGTGACTCTATATAACACACAGTGTGACTCTATATAACACAGTATCTCTATATAACACACACAGTGTGACTCTATATAACACAGTATCTCTATATAACACAGTATCTCTATATAACACACACAGTGTGACTCTCTATAACACAGTATCTCTATATAACACAGTATCTCTATATAACACACACAGTGTGACTCTCTATAACACAGTATCTCTATATAACACACAGTGTGACTCTATATAAGAGAAAGCTTATACCCACCCTGCACTGTCTGTGTTCAGCAGCCACTTCCTGGTCAGCTGACAGATCATGTGACCCCTCCCCCACCCATCCCTTTATTGCAGCAGCAGGCTGTGTATAATAACTGCATGTGGGGATCATGGGATTACATCCAGTCATTGTCACAAACAGGGCTGTCATTGTACTGCGACGCGGAATATGTTAGTGCTATATAAATAATAACAATGTATTACAGTCTAAACTGTAATAATTGTGAATGGCTACAAGGAGACTGTAAAAGGCTAGCTGAGAATTTCAGGCTCAGTCTCTGATACAATACAGAGTTTCTTCCTGTAACTATACAGCACCGTGTGATACACTAACAGGAACGGTGAATAATATAAGAAATACAGTATATCCCCCCGCTAATAGCCGCCGGCAGTGAGACAGTAACAGGAACGGTGAATAATATAAGAAATACAGTATATCCCCCCGCTAATAGCCACCGGCAGTGAGACAGTAACAGGAACGGTGAATAATATAAGAAATACAGTATATCCCCCCGCTAATAGCCACCGGCAGTGAGACAGTAACAGGAACGGTGAATAATATAAGAAATACAGTATTTTATTTTATTTAGTTTTGTAAAATGCTTCCAAAATTAAACAGAATAACAAAATAAATAACAAAATAACAATAATAAACAATCAACTGAAATAATACCCAATTCAAACATAATACCAAATGAAACATAAATACCCCAAAATTAAACATAAATACCGAAAAAAAAAACTCAGGAAGGGGCACTAATAGGGGAGTAAACTTATACCAAATTAAATAACTGGGAATAACAGGGAGAGGGATTAACAGAAAAAGGGGGGGGAACTAAATCATAAGGGGATAAATTAAAAGGCGGGGGGCTCCATTACTTCATGGAGCCTTGGGGAGGGAGAAAAAGGGCTGAAATGCTCCTGAAGGAGCTCTTACATAACAAGGGGGGGGACAAGGGGGGACCCAATTGACCTCGAGTCCACAGCCAGCTAAACACAAACATAAACCAAGAGTGAAATAAAACACACACATAAACATAAACAAACCCATTACCCACATGGAGTCCTTTTCTCAGTTCATAAAACCCACCAACCACATGGAGTCCATGCCTCCGTCCATCAACACCAACCCACCACCTACACTTTAAACCCAAACTTTAAACCCAAACCCACCACCCAAATGGAGTCCATTTTCAATTCATAAAACCCACCACCCTCATGGAGTCTATCCCTCCGTCCATCCCCCAAACCCACCACCCAAATGGAGTCCTTTTCTCAGTTCATCACATCCAAACCCACCACCCACATGAAATCAAAATTTTGTCCATAGACCCACCACCCACATGAAATCCAGTTTGTACACCACCCTCAAGGAGTCCATCCCTCCGTCCATAAAGAAACCCAGTGTTTTTTTTTTTGTTTTCTTTCCCCACCCAAAGTAAATTTTTCAATTTGTCCATACACCAGAAACCCACCCTAACCCAAACAATACCAAAAATAACCTGTGCATAACCATAACCATAACCATAACCTAACTACACTGCACTACCTAGACGCAGAGGAAGGTACTCGTCTGCTAAAGGTGGCAGCCTTCCATGAAAAGAAAAACCAGTTCAAAATCTACGGGGGAAAGGTGAAGACAGATTTGGAATTCCCTTCACCAAGACAAGGGCGCCCATGGAGCGGTTCAAGGCGGGTGGACCTTGAGATTTCGCCACAAACGCTGCCAAATGGTGGGATCCATAGAGGCCCTTTCGGTGGTATAGATCCCACGAACCGCCCTCAGAATGTCTGCTACCACCACCTGACAGGAAAGGTCTTTACGTTGAAGGGAAACCTGACACCTTGCCATCCAAGTGAAATACTTAACCACTGAACTGACTACATAAAGAGTGCCCAAATCAAAAGCCCTCCCCCTTGAGTTGGACGTCCCGTACGCCCACTCCGCATAAGTCCAGCGGGATAAGCAGGGGATGCCTAAGGCGGCTGAGACCTCTTTGTAGACCTGTACGTTAAAGGGGCACTCGAGGAGGAAGTGGTCCATGGACTCCACTTCCCCGGAACATTCCACCCGAGGACAACCGCGATCCGTTATGTTCCTGTACTTCAAATTCCCTCGAACGTAAAGTCTACCGTGGAAGGAGAGAAACGCCACGTCTCGGTATTTCTCCGGAAGGCGCCTGGAGTTGATGTTTTTCAACCCCGAGGCGAGAGTACTTGGCGGGCAGTCCTTCAAAGCAAGCTGAATGCCAAAGTGGGTGGCCAGGACCCTCCCGTCGAGAAGCTTCTTGGGAGTGTCCCGAACCTCCTCCACCGTGACGTTCCACCTGCGCAGAATTCCCACTCCCTCGATGACCGAAGACGGAAGATAGCTAGAATGCCGAACTCTCATGCTCTTCACCCTCCCACCCTGAAACCAGTCCACCAGGAAAGGTGTGACCCACTCCCTGAATATACATACCCAGCCAGGCTGCTCATCCTTCAGGAGAGCCCCAAAGTTCCTTTTCAGGAAGTTGTTAGTAAAGAAAACGATGGGGTTGACCATGGCCAGACCCCCGTCCTTTCTGGCCAGGTAAGTGACCTCTCTTTTGATGAGGTTCAGCCTGTTCCCCCACAACATGCGGAAGAACAGCGCAAACATCCGAGCGTGGAGGGACCTGGGCAAAAGGAAGATGTTACTGACGTAGCCGAATACGGTCAGAACATAGGTTTTGATTAGGTTCACCCGTTCTCTGAACGTCAGTTTCCACCTGTGGCTCTCCTCCACCTTGCTAGAAGCTATGGCAAGCCGTTCGGTCCAGTTCCTGAGAGCCAGATCCCCTGGTCCGAACACCACCCCCAAGATCTTAATTTCAGGCTGGGCCCTCGGGAAACCGTCTGGAAGAGGGAACTGGTCCCCCTCCTTCCCGCACCAGAAAACTACGCTCTTGTCCCTGTTGACACGAGAGGCTGAAGCGGCAGAATACGCTAGGATTAAATCATCCACCTCCGTGGCCTCCCGAGTATTGTAGACCACTATGGAGATGTCATCAGCGTAGGCAACAACCCGTAAAGGCCTCTCCGGAGCCCTGGCCACTCCCTGTAACGTGCCTGCCTCGACCCTTCGGATGAAGGGATCGACTGCAAACACGTACAAGAGTGGGCTGAGAGGACAGCCTTGCCTGACCCCGGATCGGATCCTAAACGTCCTGCCCCTCCACCCGTTCACAAGAGCGAAGCTTTCGGCCCCTCTGTACAAGGTGATTATCCAATTGACGAATTTTCCCGGCAAGCCATACTTCCGCAAGACTGACCACAGATAACGGTGATCTACTCGATCAAAAGCTTTGGACTGATCAAGTGCCAGAAGGTATATCCCCCTTTCTCCGTCCCTGCACTTCTCGAGGGCTTCCCTGACTTCGAAAACGGCATCAAAGACAGTTCTGCCCTCGATTGAACAGTACTGGGAGGTGGATAGGACACGCCTCGCTAGGCCCTGTACTCGTTTCATCAAAATCTTTGCCAGGACCTTCCTGTCGACATTTAACAGGGATATGGGGCGCCAGTTCCCCACATCCGCTGTGTCGAGCACGTTCGGCTTGGACAGCAAGATCAGGGCAGAAGTCCTCATCGAGGGTGGCAATAATCCTTGAGCCAAGCTCTCATTAAACACCTCGGTCAGATGAGGGGCCAAGAGGTCGCAGAACTGTTGGTAAAACTCGGCCGTCAGACCATCAGGACCTGGCGACTTACACTTGTTCTGCTGTTGGATACTCTCTGTGACCTCTTCTATGGTGATCTCGCTGACCAACTCGTCAAAAGAGAGGTCGCTATGCTCAGGGAGCGTGAGCTCGCTCAAGAAGTCATCTACCCTTCTCCCGTGGGAGGTTCCCTCCTCGCTACATTGGGGGCTGCCCTTTCCGAGGAGGTCAATGTAGTAGTCGCGGACCACCTTCCGAATCCCGCGAGGAGACTCCTCTAGGGTCCCGTCGGTGCCCCGCAGACTAGGGATGGACTTGGTACCTTCCTTCCGCTTGCAGCTAAGATAAGGATCGGGCGAGCGGTATGACCCATGATCCCTCTCTTTTACAAGGGAGGCGTACCTGTCATACTGATAACTCCTCATCAGGTTTTTAACTGCCGCAATGTCCTCGGGGTCACCTCCCTGCGAGATCAGGATGTCTAACCTCCCAAGCAAGCCCAGATACATCTTGTACCTGGAGGACTGCATGTTCCGGGCGAGATTGTGAAACAGCCGTTGAGTTCTGGCCTTCACCATCTCCCACCACTCAGACTTCGTTTGGCCTAAGTCGGCCAATGTCATCTGATCGTGAAAGAATTCCATGAAGGCTTGCTGAACCCTCTGTTCCACCAGGAGGTCTGAATTTAGCCGCCAGATCCCTCTACCCTTAGGTGGGGTACTATAGACGTTCAACTCGCAAGACAAAATGTGATGGTCGGAGAACTCCACCGGTGTAAGCACGGGTGCCGCCACCGGGAAATTCTCCTTAAAGAAAAACCTATCTATCCTACTCTGACAGCTACCTCTGTGATAAGTGTACCCACCCGTGGGATTGGGAGTGTGATGAAGGTACACATCGACCAATCCAGCCTGACTAACCATCTTATTTAAAAAATAGGAGTCATACCCCAGCCTCTGAGTGGCGTCTCTCCTGTCTTGAGGCCTAGTTATGGTGTTAAAGTCACCGCCAAACAGGATTTGCTGGGATGTATAAAGGTAAGGCTCTATCTCAATAAACAGGCGCTTCCTCTCCCACTTAGATTGGGGGCCATAGATATTAATTATCCTGAAAGGTTGCCTTCCCATTGAGACATCTAAAACCACACACCGTCCTTTTTGCAACTCAATAACCCTGTTGATGCTAACATCAACGTCCTTAAATAGGATGGCGATTCCCCCATATCTCTCTGTGGCTAGAGAGAAATAGGAGGGCCCCCATCTCCAGTCCCGCTTTGCAGCGCGCAGGGCCGCGAGGGTTTCCAGCCGGGTCTCCTGTACCAAGATGACATTGTACGGAGCCCGGCTGAGGTGGTCGTAAACCAAAAAGCGGGCCCTGCTGGACTTAATGCTGTTTACATTCACCGTAGCCACAGAGAGTACAGGAAAAGTCGCCATAAGGGCATTAAGTATAAGGAGACTTTCCCTTCCTTCTGCGGTACCCCTCCTCCTCTGTGTCGGAACCGAGGAACCTCTTCACTGAGACTCCGGGATACAGTTGCCCACCTCAACCCCTGCCACCACCCCGGGGAGGTTCGCCATCTCCTCCTCGTACTCACAGTCGGCCCAGCTGGAGGACAGTGCCTCGTACCTGTTAGATACGGGCACCGGGGCCTCCTGCAAGCCCGAAGAGGAGGATGACGCCCGTGCCACACCACCCTTATAAGTGGCGTCTCCCCCGTTCGGGGGTTTCGCCGCAGGGGGTATGGCGATCTTCCGGGGTGAGGGCAGCGTCGAGGTCTTGGAGGGGGGGGGTTTCTTACCTTTCACCGTGCTCCACTCTAGGGACTGTGCATCTAAGGGACGTGCATCTGGGGACTTTTCAGTGGGGGTAACCTTCACCGTGGAGAATTTAGGAGGGGGGGGCCTAAGGGCGACAACCTGGGAGTGCCTAAGGGGAACCCGTGTACCTGCTTGTGCGTCTAAACTATTTATAACCGCGGCACCCTTTGTCAGGGTGCCTGTGCCCGTGCTCGTGCCCGCCACCTGTGTACCAACTAACTCCAGTGAACCAATGGCTGTGGAGGTAGTGCGTTCTCTACGTACACTTTTCGTGAGGGGACGTGAACTTGTGGCCTTCCCAGGGTCCTGAGATGTTACAGAGACCAAGGGGAGGATGGGTTGTTGCTGGGGCAGGGAAACCCCTGTGCCAGAGATGGGCCTTGTAGATGACGATGCCACCTGAACCCCTAACCCAGCAGAGTCCATCTCCACCGGCTCCTGACTCCAGATGGACTCTACATTGTGCTGGGCTTCGGGGCAGGTGCGGTACGTGTGACCCATCTCTGAACACAGATGACACCGGATCTCCCTGCAGCTGTCCCGGAGGTGCCCCACAGCGCCGCACATAGTGTATTTGAGGACCGTACAGGCATTGCTGTAATGCCTGTACGATCCGCACTTGTGACATACCCTGGGCTGACCAGGGTAAAAACAGGATACCCGGTCAGCCCCGATGAAAAAACTATTAGGCATATGCTGTGTGACACCTCGAATCTCCCGCAGCAACACTGAAACAGTCCATCCGCCTGTCCAAATCCCATCCTCATCTAAGATCTTAACAGGGGGGGATTTAACATCCCCAAACCTCTTAGTCCAAACAAGGATGTCTGCTATGGGGATGGATTCATTTCTCACCAGGAAAGTGACCTTCTTAAGACCCTGGCGAGAAATGGCCACAGCGGTGAATCCTGCCCACTTTGTACCCTGTGCAGACCTGGCCGCTTCCCACCCAGCCCAGAAGCGATCCAGGAGCTGCGACGTCATAAAGGAGACGTCGAACTCCCGGGTGCCCGAGGCATGGATGAGCGCGTACAGGTCCACGGGCGCAAATCCCATATCCTTTAGCCGGGTCACCAGCCACCGTCTGTCAGGCACCTGGGTCTCACCCCCACAGATGAGCCGTACCACGTTCCTCCTGTTCCCAAAGGAAACCTGAGGACGCGTAGCAGGCCCGTCCGCAGAGAGGCGAGGTGGCCCAGATGCCCAAGCATTGGGCGCACCGGGACCCGCTGTCTGGGAATGATTCGGACGGACTCCCCTCGCTGAACCAGAGGCCTCGGTCACACCAGAACCCTGGGTGACAACCTGGGAGTGCCTAAGGGGAACCCGTGTACCTGCTTGTGCGTCTAAACTATTTATAACCGCTGCACCCTTTGTCAGGGTGCCTGTGCCCGTGCTCGTGCCCGCCACCTGTGTACCAACTAACTCCAGTGAACCAGGGGCAGGGGCAACATAACCTGAGGCGGGGGCAACATAACCAGGGGCAGGGGAAACAGTACCAGGGGCAGGGGCAATAGTACCGGGGGTGGGGGCAACATAACCAGAGGCAGGGGCAACAACACCAGGGGCAGGGGCAACAACACCAGGGGCAGGGGCAACAACACCAGGGGCAGGGGCAACAACACCAGGGGCAGGGGCAACAACACCAGGGGCAGGGGCAACAACACCAGGGGCAGGGGCAACATCATTAATACAAACAGGCTGGCTGTGGACCTTTTTACTAAGGCCAATAGGTCCCATCATTACATTTACAGTTACATCCATACTCCCATCCTCCTCAGCCATCCCTAAACCACCAGTGGAGTCAAACACAATGTTAGTCATACTTTTCTTACCTCCACTGGCGGTTTCCTCAGTATGGACTGCTGGCTGAGGATGATGGGAGTCCCCTGCAGTCCTGTCTTCCATAGCGCCAGCGGCACCCGCGGCACCAGGAACAACAGGAACAACAGGAACAACAGGGGGACTGGTTACACATGCAGACATAAGGGGAACACATAGGGAAGCAGGGGGAACAGACTGGAAGACAAACTTGGACACATCCAGGGAAACAGACTGGGGGACAAACAGGGGAGGAGACTTGCTGGTAGGGGAGAGCAGTCGAGCTTGCTCCAAGGGAGCAGAGGGAAAAGGAGGGCCATCACCCTGCTCCAGACTGCTCCATCCAGTGCCATCCTGCCCAGCAGCCGCCTGAGGACAGGAGGCAGAGGTACCAGCCACTCCAGGGGACGCAACCACACGGAGAGGAAGGTCAGAGGGAAGGCAGGTAAGGGAGGGAGTGGGAAGGGAGCAGGGGAAGGACCCCTCCATGGGATCACCGGTACATGCCATAGTACCGGCGGGGATGGTCTCCCTGTCACCATGGAGGGCGGCGGGGGGCCCAGATACTTCCACAGAGGCAGGTTGTGCAGGTTTCTGGGGCATACAGGTGTTGCCACCTGCAGGGTTAGTATCCCTGGCCCCAGGCTTCTGCAAGGCCAGGCCTTTTATATAGTATTTTAATAACCTTTTTTATTTTATATTTTATTTATTTTCTGCATACCATACTCCAAAGAATCCTAGGTGGGGATTATACCACCCACGCTGTTACATAGAGCAGTTAGTCTGCCCTATACATTGTGAGTATATTTTATTATTTTATTTATTTATCTAAATTTTATTGAGAGCACTATCGCTGTTTTATCTTCTCTCCGAGTTCCTGAGGTTCAAGTCAAGATCACTCATCAGCGGGGATAATACCGCTGTACGCCAAATCAACTAGAGCTAGTCAAAGCTCTACTGAATGTGAGTGTATCTACTATATATTTTATAATTTTTACCATACGTGTGGAACATACTGCACCATTACTGTCTCTATTTTTATTTTCCAACTTGGTTACCTGCCACTACAAAGAAGAGGACACTTGCTGCATATCCTGGAAGCGGGGATAATACCGCTGTAAGCCATTCACACCAGAGCTGGATTAAGCTCTGCCAATTGTAAGTAAGACCTCTTCTATTTTTCATATATTTGGATTACTCTTCACACCATCAACATCTCCTGGATATCACTGAAGTAGATCCTTGGATGCGACAATATAGACCCCACTGGACTTAATATTACTATTTATTGTGCACATTGGCGCAGACCCATCCCCCCACTTTTTTTGTCATTATCCAATTTTCAGGGACATTAGAGGGATTCCCTGTTTGGGACTGCTGCCTTTTGGATTAGCGCTGACTCTACACCTTGTTCAGTCAGGTGGCCAAAAAAAGAGTAGTGTGTAAAAAAAAAAATTTTTTTTTTGTTTTTTGTTTTTTTTAAATGGGCCTATTCCATTGTCCTGGGCCTTGGCCTGGAGCTGCAGCTCCATCAGCCCCTATGTTAATCCGGCCCTGAGCCCACCCCTGGCAGTATATCACTTACACTTACCCAAGCTGGCCTGTTGCTGGGTCTTCAGGGATAAGAGGCTGAACCCTGGCATTTTCATCCCTTCAGGGAGAGGTTGGGTCCGACCCCCGGTCACTAAACGGGGTACTCAGGCTAGCCACTTAATCTTAGTGCGTTTTGCTGGGTCTTCAGGGCTTAGAGGCTGAACCTTGGCAGGGCCTAAAAAATATTGCCTGGTGAGCATAAAAGAAAAAATCTAGGCCTGCTTAAGCAGACTCCTTCCAAACTGCCGTGAAGGACAGGAAAAAGACTGCCCGATAGGAAGGAGGAGGATCTATTTATACCAGTTTCAGAGTTCTATTTCCTGTCCTTTCTGCCGTGAGGGGAGGAGCTAACCCATGAGTAAATGCTGCCATGAATAATGATCAGGAAATGGGAATTGTTTTAGAATTGTATCCAGGCAACAGTTTTCTCTATAAACTGACCTCTCAGTTTTACTTGTGAGGGTATTGCCCCCCCGAATTACAATATTGTTATATTGGTATTTGACGGTTCTATTTGACTGTCAGATATGAAGTGCAGGCCGCAAATTTACTTTTTATCACCCAAAACTATTAGAATTTTTCAAAGTGCGCTGTAAGCACAGTGTTTGACGGTTCTATTTGACTCTCAGATATGAAGTGCACCGCAGGACACAAATGTACTATTTAGCACAAAAAAAGTGTGATTTTTTTATTTTTTTAAACCAACAATGTAACAGTAGTATTTAAGGGTTTTATTAGACTGCAAGAAATGCAGTTTGCAAATGTACTATTTAGCACCCAAAAAATTGCAGTATTTAAAAATGCCTAGATGTTGCCCACTGAGCAACCAGAACAGGATTAAAGTCATGTGCCTGGCACACATGCAGTTGCAAGTGCACTGCACTCTCTGTGGCACTGGGCTCAGGGCAGGGTACAAAAATGTAGTATTATAGCACCCACAAAAATAATCGCTGTAGTTTAAATAATCGCTGTAGTTTGCAGATTCAACACCAGAATTCTTTTCTAATCTGTCCCTAACAGCTGCAGCATCCTCTCCCTACACTAATAAGGGCTCATGTGCGTGCGGCGCTACGTGACTCCACCTTATATATAGAGGCTGGATCACATGCTGCACTGGACAATCACAGCCATGCCATTAGTAGGCATGGCTGTGATGGCTTCTAAAGGCAAACAAGTCAAATGCTTGTTGATTGGCTGCCCTG